TATGATGGCAAGGGTGCGAGTGGTGTTGGTGCTGTCGGTGGTAGTACTGGTGATGATGATGGTGCTGGTGCTAGTAGTTGTGTGAGTGGGAGTGATGGTGCCGGTGGTGCCAGTGGTTGTAGTCCTGGTGCTGGTGCTGATGCTGGTGCTAGTTGTGGCACCAGAGGTAGTGATAATGGTGGTGTGGTGATGGCAGTTATGATGGCAAGGGTGCGAGTGGTGTTGGTGCTGTCGGTGGTAGTACTGGTGGTGATGATATTGGTGGTGCGAGTAGTTGTGGGAGTGGGAGTGATGGTGCCGGTGGTGCCAGTGACTGTAGTAATGGTGCTGGTGGTGATGCTGGTGCTATTAGTGGTGCCAGGAATGGTGGTGGGGGTATTAAGAGTAGTGTTGGTGGTGGTGTTGATAGTGCTGCCAGTGGTTGTGCTGTTGGTGTTAGTGGTTGTGGTGGTTCCGGTACTCCTGCTGCTGCTGCTGTACGTGGTGATGGCGGCTCTAGTGCTACTGTTTATTGTCTTTGAAGGGGTTAGGTCGTTCGTGATGCCAGAGGTGTTGATGTTGATGGCGGTGGTGATCTTGGGGACGGTTTTGGTGCTAGTGTTGGTGATAATGGTGATGGTGGCAGTGTCAGTGTCAGTGACATACTGATAATGCTGCCAGTGTTTATGGTGTTCTTATTGATGGTGGTGATACCAGTGGTAGTGGTGGTGCTAGTACTGGTAGTGCTGGTGATGGTAGTGATAATATCGTTGGCTGTGGTGCCAGTCGTGGTGCTGTCGATGTTGCTGCCAGTTTTGGGGTGATATTGGTGTTACTGATGGGGGTGATGATCGTTTTGATTGTGATTGTTGTTCATGGTAAAAATAGCAATATTTGCAGTGTTTGCAGACGAAATGCTGGAAGCAGCATTTGAAATAATAGTTGAAGTAGAAGTAATAGAAGTAATAGTAGCAGCAGTTAAAGCAGTATTATAGGGCGTAGTAATATTAAGGGTACTACTACTAGTAGTAGAGTAATTACAGTAGGTGAAATATTATTACTGACGCACTCAAGACTTACTGGAATATTGAAGACTCTTTGGGTACGCTGAGCCTTTGTACTTCCGACTCTCCTTCATCCACCTGACGACTACCTTCTCAGCTAAAACGTAATGTCCATAAACTTCAGTTTTCAGTTTTCAGAAGGCATTAAATCGCCAGGTATGGGGTAATATTCAAAATATAACATACTTCTTTATGTATCATGTTTATGGTAAAGGAAGCAGCGTTAGCTGAATCCTCTGCATACGTTAGACAACTACATTAGATTAAACAACTTCCATACGAACGTTTCACGTAGGTTTTTATTATTGACACTATTCAGCGTCAACGCAAGCATGTCTTTCTTGAATCCCATGTTTAAGACCGAATATGCTGGTCACATTAATGGCATTTCCTGTTAAATTACTTCCTCAAACGCATGTCTACCAAGAAGTGGGATCGACGATTTTATTCAGGTCTTCGGTGGTATCGTATAATTTGGCGCTAAACTACTATTTTCTGGCTCCAGTATTCAACTGTATGTCGTTTTTCCAACAATTTTATTGAATGGACAAGACTTTTTAAAAAAAGGGTCAAACATACGACTAGCGAGAGAGCATCGAGACACCATGACGTTTTGACCGAGATCTGCGCCATTTAATTTCCATTCACGATCTATGCCATCGTGGCCAGATTTGAGACCCTCAGCGTACTTCTGAGCAAGTTCTTCCAACTCCTGTCAGACAAAAGATTTGTATTACTAAATATTATGAAGTAGCAATATAAATGTGATATATATTTTCCCCCAATGCGAATATCTTCGAATTTGTTGAAGGGGAGACAAGTTAAGGAGATTTTTACAAGTGTTAGACAAATGGATGAGTTTATATTGTAATTTTCCTCCCAGCCTTCAGGCACATAAAGGATATACATATTTGCAGTTTTCATAGCCACATGGGATTCATTTACAGACTTCTTCGAAAGAACTCTTTGGAAGGAAAAGGCCAAATCGATTTACCTATATTTCTGTAACTATCCAGAATATATGAATTTTTCTTCTTAAGGCAAATATAACCGTTTTCTTTTCGTACAAAGGAGACTGACAGTCGCTGATGGGCACTCACCGATCGCAAACGAAACGCACACATCCTGTTCTACCTTGGGTTCACTTGTACATGAGCTAAGCGCCTAGGCAGACGAGCATAGCTGACAAAGACAAGCGATACTGGAATGGTCATTTCTGGCCTATTAGTAATCAACAGCCAGTCGCACCCAGCCTCCGGTGGCACAGTATCCGAGGCACAAACCCGCGAAGTACAATGCTCAGGTCTATCAAGCCACGCGAATATTTTGTACATGGTATATATAGATACGTATTAGGCGGTTAAAGTCATCCTAGTCAGAACGTGAGCAGACTTACCCAGCTCCTTTTCAACGATGGCAGACCTCTCCCCTCTCTGAAGGCGTTTTGGGCCCGCAGCATGGCATTTCTGTAGGCCACCACCTGAAAGGGAAACAACACGCATCTACCAATGTGCATCAGTGATTTCCATGGAACGTACCAACGCTTCGTTCACATATACAGATGAAAATTTTAACTACGATCCTCCGGATGATTATGCGTAAATTTCGCTGGTTAAATATGTACATGTACATATGTTACTTACTATAGTAACATATTTATTTAATGATGACTCTGTTTGCGTACAGTTTTCAATAGGGTCTTCAAAGGCATTGCCTACCACCATAAATATGCTGAACTATATCCTCAACTATCTGTGGAATCTGCTTTAAGAAAAATACACACACACATCACCCTTTTACGGAAAAATGTACTTGCCGCGAAACTTACGTCTGAATGGGAGAAGACGGGGGTTGACATTGTTTTCACGTCTAGTTTAGGCTCAGCATGAACCGGTGCATGTTGGCGTCTTTCTGTGGATGTGTGAAAAAAGGGCATGATCAACACTTCCAGCCCCCCTCCCCTCTGTTAAGTCTGCAAATTAAGTCATAACATTACATTATACTACTCACTATAAGCGCGTAGTCATGTTTGAATGCTATTTTGACTACCCAACAACGGCTGTGTTTCACCCCCCCCCCTAAGCATGTAATTGAGGTATTCTACCATGCCTGCATATTCAGCCATCGGCTTACCTATGTAGTCACCTCTGAGGACCTGATTTTGGCCGGATAACGGTCGAGGCACGTGAGAGGACTGCTGATTGGCGAAGTCTCCCGGCGGGAAGTAATGACCCACAACGTAGACGCTCTGCCCGTCCGCGGACTTGGCCAATCCGAAACCAGCCCACTTGGTCTCGTCCCAAACCACTTGGCAAAATTGACCTTAGCGTGGGTAGAAGGAAGAGGGAAGGCAGTATGAGGAGAACTGACGAGCCGGCAGGGCAGTACGCATTCAAGTTTGCACGCGGTTCCAACTACAGACTTACCACAAGAGGAGTGTTCCTCACTATCAAAATCGTACCGCAGGATTTCCCCATACCACAGGAGTGTGGCCTCCGAGCCTAAAAGGTAGCCAACGTGAAAGGATGGCGTTAAGCTGCAGGGCAAACTCCGCAAAAAACAAATCCCACTTTTCATAGAGTGGCAAAATTGTTGATTTCTGGTTCAAAAGAGGAAGGCTGAAACCTGGAGGCTGCAAGAACAAACGACAGCTAGATGAAGTTGAGATAACCAATGAACCCTCAACGCATAATTTTTTTCCTCAGAAATTAATCGTTACCTTGTGGTAGATCAGTTTTTAGTGGACTAGATTCGCAGACCAAATGGGATGTGAAAAGCAGGGCCGAAGTCCATGAGCCACTGCGCTACAGCCGCCTACAGGTACTCTGTAGCACAACCTATGTGCTTGTGACAAAGATGTTAGCTAAAATACTAGACACCTGTTTCACTGATACTCTGCCGCTGCATGGCCCAACAACTTAGGCTGTAGATCCCTAATCTACACCAACACAGAAAGTAATTTATGAAGGAGTGAAAAAGCTGCAAAATGCGCTATTTCCCCGTAAATATTTGTCAATGAAGTATACTTCAGCTGCATTGAACATCGAATCAACCTGGGGGCTGTTTTGAACGCGATGCTCTAGCACCTTTTGTCAGCAGCTGAGCCTGACCAAATGATAGCAACATTTGAAGGCTTTCCTGAGGCGCCGTACCCGCCAAATGTCTTTGTATGTTCGCTCTGACTACATACGTGCGATGACCTCAAAGGCTGCACCGAAGATACGGACGCACGCGCGTGTAAGCATGTGCCCAGGTGGTTGCAGTTCCCCGAGGGCCAACTGGTCGCATGAGCTATCCCAGTGCGGCCAATCAGGCCACAACAGA